TCCGGCTGCCCTGCATTGGGCGCTATTTTCTGAGCGCGGCTGCCAACAATATTAAGATACAGTACCTATATTTATGAAGCATTATGATCAGTATGAAGAAGACAATAATAAAAAAGATAAGCATAATCCTGCTCCCATGAAGCTTAAGTTCTAGTTATGGATAAAGACTTAGAAACAGATTAATGCAATACCTTATGATGAGCACACTATGTAGAGAGCCCCACTCATACTGTAGTTCATGTAACTGGGCATTTATATTTTACTCTGAAATACATTTTCACTAATTACAATGTGAGTGATGCTCTGGACAATAAATACAACGAGTGTTATGTACTGAATGTTTGTCTTCCCAAAATTCATATGTGAAGCCCAACTCTTAATGTGACTATTTAGAGAAATTACCTTTGGGAAGTAATTAAGGTTAAATGAGGTCATAAGGATGGGGCCTTAATCTAATAGGATTAGTGTCTTCATATGAAGATACATGATAGGAGAGAGTTTGTAATCTCTCTCCCTCTCTCTCTCTCTCTCTTTGTATACCATGTGAGAATAGAGCAAGAAGGTGGCTGTCTGCAAGTCAAGAAGAGAGATCTCATTAGAAACAATCCTGCTGGATGTGGATCTGGGATTTCCAGATGCAGAATTCTGAGATAATATATTTCTGTATTTAAGCCACCCACCTAATCTGTGGTATTTTGTTATGGCAGCCCTAGTAGACTAATACAGTAAGAATTTCAGAGCATTATAGGAGCACCTAATCTAATCTTAGGAATCCACAGAAGTTCTCCTAAAAGAAAATGAAAAATAATATTAGATCCAAAAATGAATAAGAGTTAGCAAGTCAAAGGAAGGGTTTGTAGGTGCACGAGGGGAAGGTGTTGAGTGGAAATGGTTTCCAAGCAAAGAGAAGTGCAGGTACAACAGAAAATTAGACACATTCCCAGACCACACTGAATGGATCATGAAGTAGAGGGGCACAGTATATGAAAAGATTAGAAGGAGCAGAATGACAATAGGGCTTTTATGAATCCTCATAAGAAATTGGGATTTTAACCTGAGATCCATGAAAATCTAAAGTATTTCTAAGGTATTAAAAATTAATAATGAATTCATTTGTTCTATGTAAAATAATTTGAAAACTATCTGGAAGGAAATTTCCACTTCTGCAGTTCTTTAAACATTTGCTCAGCACTACCTGCTTGGCTCTCAGTGATGTTTGTTTAACGAATAATGGGTTTAGGCTTCTTCTGAGGATATTATGATCCTCTCCTTACCATCACCATGCACCTATCACTCCAAATCAGAGTCAATTTTTTTTAATACTTATTGGCATGGCAAAAGCACTTTTCTCTAAAAGTTATTACATCTATAATAACTGTTTTAAAATTCAGTTTACATTCAGGTTACCTCCTAATACTCAGCCTTTGCACCACTAGACCAGCCAACATAGTGCTGGATTTGTGAAGATCAAGTTTAAACCATCCACTCTGGCTTCCAGAACAGTCCTGTGTGTTCTTGCACCTCCTGCAAGCAGCTGACACTTGGATGTGTATTACCACTACAGTTTTACATTTTTTATCCCTCCAGAAAACAATAGATAAATATCAAAGCATGAAATAATGTTTTTGTTCAGAGGTCCAATGAGCATGTCAAGTCAAATTCTCCTTTTTTTTTTTTTGGTCTTCAAATTGTTTTGTGAATAGTATTGGACTTCACAAGAATTTCAGGAAAACAGAGTTTGGAAACAAGAATTGATAGACCCTGACAGCCAGTTTCTTAGGTATGTCCTTCCAGTTACCCAAGCATGGGAGATATTTACACTTTGACCTCAGGACCCCTGCCCTGACTCCAAAGTCCTCCCACAACACTATGAACTCGTAGCTGTGGGAATCCACTGCTTGCTGGACATACCATTTAGGGAAGATAGCTAGCTCTCAGAAATCTTTAAAATACTTGTTGACACTGCCCATTTCTTTAATGAATATCTGATACACAGGAAAAATCTCAGTGTTATAAAACCAAGAATGAGAGCTATAGCATAAGTGACACTACAACTTAAGTTTCAGACTGACAAGGCAAACCCCCTACCCTGACCTGGCACCACCACTGACTGCAGCTGGCGGAAGGAAGTCAGCAGGAAGAAAGATGTTTCTGTGATCAAAAATCTTTGAACATCCTACTCAGAAATACTAGGCTTGGAATTCACGGAGAGAATCATTCTGAGAAAACAAGGAAATTTCCAAGTTGCTTCAGAAAAAGAGCTGTTTCATTCAATCTCGCCAAAACTCTGGAGGGAAATCAGATAGTATAGGCCTAAAGGAAGCATACTTGAATTCTTTACAAGTCTCTGTGTAAGGATAAGACGTCTTAAGCCAGTGGATCTACTTCAAATAGAAATAATATTAAAATGCCCACCCTGCCAGAATAGCTATTATCATCTCTAGCACAGCATTCTCTCTGCTGGTATCTTTACAGGTCAGCTGCCCTCTAGATCAGCTGTCAGCGTCTCCACCACTGAGTCTCGACTGATCATCTCTTTATTCCTAGTTCCACTTATCTATCTTAGGTCATGTTCACTAGAAGCAGACTCAGAGATACAGCTGCATGCAGTTTTATTGGGGAATGCAGTTAGAACCAACGTGTGCAAGGAAGTGAAGGAAACAGGTTTGGGGTAAAGGAAGAAGTCACACTGGGATTAGTCAGAACAGGGGCAGATCCTAAAGGGGCTCTGACGCCAGCATGGGCCTTCGGGATTGTCCCAAATTAAGGCAAGGGGACTGGGACTTTGTATTCCTAAATTGGCAGGCTATGAGGTCAAGGCTGCTCCAGGAATCAGTTGTGACTTTGGGCAAGACAGCTCTGCCAGGCAGAAGGCAAGTCCTGGAAAGGGGCTCAGCTGCAAGCCCTCAGCAGGGATACCCCCAGAAGCTGGGGAATGAGTGTCTCAGACCGAAAGTAATGTGCTCCACAGTATCCACCATACCCTCTGACCCCAGTGATGTGAGGAGCAGCCCAAGAGGTGGACAGAGTCTAGCTTAGAGTGATTTAGCCTTCTTTCTTCCCCTCTCCATTTAGATCAGCAGCCCCTTTTCATTCCTTCTTCCTCTGAACTTCGGTGGTGTGTTAGGAGAATGTTTCAATGGGACTTCTCCTTCCACTCCGCTGAAGGGTCAGGCTAAGACAGGCAGCTTAGGCTAAGCATCTTGCAATCCTAAATTTTATGGTGTTTAGGTGGGTTTAAATAGATTATGTGATTTCTTTTTAAAGGAAATTTTGAATAGTCACTTCTAATTTCTCTTGCTGGCTTTTAATTGCAAATGCACAGTATTTTAGCCATATTCAGGTCTTATCAATTTTTGTCTGCCATCCAAGAAGCCTTAGAGCTATTGTTTCTATGTGAAAATGTATATTGAGTCCCAAAAGCTCAAAAGAAGCCTTGGAACGGTGCCCAGGTGGAGACTGCCACACAGGTAATGGTTGCGGTGAGTGTGTTACAATTTTCAAGCCCTTCAAACACACACAGAAAGCATCAGCCCATTAAAAGCTGAAGTTGCCTTTTTCACTGTGCTTTGCTCAAACTGATGCTGGAGGGCCAAAATATTGCTTTCACCAATTTGTTCCCAACCAATAAATCCAGTATCCCACACTCTAAAACAAGGAAGGCTGTTTCAAGAGATCACACATTTTAATGGAATTGCACTTCATTTCTAGAACAAGCACATCCTGCCCAAGCAGCTCAGCTGTTATTACAAACAAGATCTGGTCACCTCTCCCTCTATTCTGAGCATTATCCCTGTTTTACTGGAAAGGAAACTGGAGTGAGGCTCTTGAGTGACTCAGCCCCAAACTAGGAGTCAGATCTGAGGCAGGCAGCTGGTGAAGGCGAGGGCTTCCACTGCCTCCACGTGGTTTGGCTTCCCACCCCTGCCTGGATTCCCTCCCAGCAGTGGGGCCTGAAATGTCCCTTTAACTATCTTGGCATTTTTACCTGTGAAACAAGGCTAGAAACAGCCATTCCCAGGAAGATTCGGTATTCACTCACTAATCAAAGACTACCAGCCCTCATGGCAGACAGGGAACTCAGCACAGCTTCTGAAGGGGTGCCTTATTTTCTTCCTTAAAGGAGGTCAGAATTTTAGTTTCAAGGCCCTCTGATTCCTTTGGCAGCGGTGTCAGTGATCGCCCCAGCTCTGCCCTGACATGGCTGCACCACTGAGTAAAGCCCAGGGCAGGATATGTGCCTGGTGCAATAATGCCAGTTAAATAAGCCCTGTTCATTTCCTCCCAACAGTCAAGGAGTTTAAAATCCTGTCAATTCATCCCACGTGAGAGAGATTATGTGATTTACATGTTAAAGTGCCCCTGAGGCTTGATTTGCATAGCAAAGACTGTGGGGGCACAGAAACAAAGGATCAGTGTGCATGACAAGAGCGCTATTAGCATAGAGCGTTTGAATTTGCAGACAGCCCGACACGCAAACAACCGGGCACCTTCGCCACACACGTTGAGTTATAGGATTTGACAATTTCTCACCAACAATAAGGAAAGAGGTTAGGGAGTTGGGGTGTGGAATGAGGTTTACTAGAAAGGCTGTCTTCTTAAGCACAATAATTAGTATTTCCTTAAAGGGCTTTCCTCTTACCACCCCCATTTTTTCCCACAGCTATTCATTCCAAAACAGAACTATTACGCTTTGTAATACTGGAAGAGCCCAGCCACAACCATTCTGAACACTGGAAAACAGAGAGAGTAGCTGAAACCTCATAAGTATGCACACACACACACGCACACACACAACTGTAACCTTTTTAGTAAAACTTGGGGTCCTTTAAGGTTTCCCAACTTCTATCACAAAAGCACTTTGGGTGCCAGTCACTGGGCTGGCCTCTCGCAGAATTATGAATCTAGTTGAGCTTTCCTTTTTTCATCCCCTTCCAATCCACTTCTGAATGGTCCTTAGGGCCATTTATCTGATCTCTACTAATTAGTTTACAGTGGGAGCACAACCCAGTATGAGCCACACAGAGCCGGTGGCTGACTCTTCCAGTGTGCTTCCTAGGATTGCAACTACCCTCCGGAGGCCCACAGAGAGGGGAGGCTGCTCAGTGAGTCAGAATCAGAACAAATGATGTCATCAGGCAATGGTATCATCAGGTATGTGCTCGGGGTCTTTTCGGCTGAGGGCGGCAGGATGCGTGGCTCTTCTATTCTCACTTACAGGTGAGGCTCTAAGTTTCTAAAAATGAGTAAAACAAGGCCCTGCCATCAGGGGGCTCCCAGTCTAGTCGGGGGAACAAAATTGTCATGCAGTATGTTTAGTTTTGCAATGGCACTGGGAGAGTAAAGGAGGAACAACTAAGCCAGCAAGCAGGTGGGTGGCAAGGACAGTATCTCAGGGACAGAGATGCCTAAGTCATGGCTAAAGAGTCTGTAGGAGGTGTGCAAACACAAAATTTGAAGGACTAAATTTTAAAGATCTTATTGGCTTTATTTAAGGATTCATGAACTGGATGGTATTTCATCTAGCAAATAGAAAGGAGCACCAAGAAGCTGTACAGAATTAAGACTTTTATAGGCAGAAAGGGGTACAACATGAAAATTATACTAGCAAAGAGCTGACTGTCTGTGGCAATCAGGGGATATCTTTCTTTAGGGGACAGCAGGTGTCTACCAGGCAGACCACCTCACTGGTGCACACAATTCTATACTGACTGGTTTAAGGTTCTACTCCTAGGGAAGGCTGAACTGTAATTAATTAAGCTATATGTTAAGTCTTGATTTGGTCCTTTGGCATTTAGCACAAGTGACTCCATTTTGTGCTCATTATCTCTTTTTTAAGAGAGAAAAAAGCCAGTTTGAGCATCCTCAAAGCCAAATAGGGTTAGATAGTACTGCATTAACTGCAGCCAACTCTCACACTTGGGTCACGTTTTTGACTCCTTGCAGACACTTACCACTCTCTCTTTCATCCCTCTTCCTCCTGGAAACACTTAGGTAACTTCCATTATGTTACCATTGACCAAGTGAAGGTTTTTTGAGAACTCTCTCAAATTCTTAGTTTTCTTTCCTGGTTATCTGGTCTTACTGATATAACTCCCTAAGAATTCTGAGAGCATCTTTTGCTCTCAATCCTCTCTTCCCCTAAATCCACTCCCTGCAACAAACACATACACATACCCCGACACATACACACACAAATGTATTGATTTGTATCCTATTTCTTCATTCATTAGTCCAGTATTAATCAAGTAATACCTAATGAAAAGAACACTGGTTATGAAATTTGGAGACTTGGGTTTAAGTCCTGACTTTGCCATGTTTGTTTCGGGGCATAACTCCTAATTCCTCTGCAACCCAGTTTTCTCTCTCTAAGATGGAAGTTGGACCAGAAAGCCTCTAAGATCCTTTCATCCTAATATGAGAGAAATTAATAACATAACCTAATATGCCATCATATTAGACAAACTGAACCACAGGAATGTGGGGGTTGAAGGCTAAAGTGACTGTCCCAGAATTCCCACCTTAACTGTTCTGTCACCTGCCCCTTTAAGAGTTTGTCACTTCACAGCCCTGAGATAGTCTCTAAGTCTTAAAAGAGGAATATCAACAAATGCATCTTGGGGCTGTTGGGAGAATTAAATAGAGTGCTCTTAGGTGAAAAGCAATTGGCAAATTATAAATGCAATGCACTGTTACTAATGTGCTAACTCAAATGAGACTGAAATTCCAAGTACTAACATCAGGATGTTGTCAAATGGTCCTTTAACCCACTGGTTTTCAGGTTGGCAGGGTGGGAGTGACATCCCTCCACCCCCAGGAGATATTTGGCAATGTCAGGAGACATTTTTGATAGTCACAACTGCTCCCCTATGGAAGAGAGGCCAGGGAGGCTGCTAAATATTCTTGAATGCACAGGACAGCTCCCCACAGTAAAAAAATGACCCCTTTGCTCAATAGTAAACCTAATGCTCAAAATCATTCTAAACAATGCCTGTTTTCCCAGGGAAAAAGATAGTATATGTGCCACCAGTACTTAGATCCCATGAATACCTACACTCCCAAAATGTCCTATGGCCCTGTGACAAAGCTCCAACCAAAAGGCGGTTCCCTTAGAGATTCCATCATCAAGTTCTGGGCCACAGGGACTTGGATGGAGGCTCTCTTGTGACAAAAAAGCCCTGTAAGTGGAAAGGCAGAAGGATCACGAGCAGGCTAATAACTCTAGAAGACTTACTCTCTCCTTTTTACTGGGGTGGATGGAGGAGAACCAAATCCCTGAAACTCATTTATTGTGTAGAATTAGGCAAAGGGAGTTGGGGAAAGAGTGTATAATGCATCACTTACATTGTGGGGCTGAACTCATTGATACTGTGTGTTCTGCCCCCACACAGGGCATAGCTCATTCTCTCTAGAAATATATTAAAGTTCTGCCATAAACATAAAATGTGAGGGGATAAAATAACTGCTATAATTGATATTCCTTTTAGTTACTTAAAAAAAAATTTGGTCACTAGTCAGGTGTTACAGACTTTGAAGCATGAGAACATACACAGGATACCTTTGAACATTCACTCCAGAAACACTTCTTGCAACTCTGGCAGCAATGGAAGATTAGTGATTCATGATTCAGTAAGATCTTTAGTGGGTTGATAGTTTTAGTCTGCAACTGGTTCAACACCTCAGATAGAGAAAAATAAATTATGAAATCAGAAATTCTTATTTCACACTTAAATTGCAATATTTTTATTCCAAAGGAAAGTAAATGTTAAACACATTATTTCTCACCATCATCCCATAAGGAGGATGTTAAAATAAATGGGGAAATAAAGTTATCAAGAATAAGCTTTGGAGGTGGGATTAGAGCTCACAACCTTTAAATCATAAAAACTCATGCCAACAATTTTGAAAATGCAAATGTTATCCTCTCTATACATTCTCCTCCAACTTGACATTTTCCTATTCCATATTCTGCCAATATGTTCTCTAACCTGCTTTTTGAATAACAGTGATTTGGTAAATGACGGTATTGCAATGCTGGACCATTTTGCTTTGACTGGTCCTGTTCAGAACAGATTTCAGGGCATGAGCCTGGTGTTCAGATCTCTGAATCCAGACACCTCTGACCTGAGCTGAGAATTCTTTACACTCCTGAAATGGGAGTGGGGCACCGGCACTGACTCTCTCCACTGAGATAAGAGCTCATCAGTGAAATAGCATAATGGAGGTGAGACCCTTGTAAAACACAGAGCAAAGGCCTAATAATTTAAAGTGAGCCGAGGTCCCTGCTCCTAAGAGACTGGTGAGATGGCACTGACAACACCTTCTGAAACCATGGTTTCAGTGGTAACTGTGGTCTTTTTGAGAGGAAGTAGCTGATTAAGGTATATGCAGATAACATTCCAGATTTTTCCTGAGTATAAACTTGGCACTTTTGAAAAGGGCATAAAATCTGTCAAGTCACCAGAATGCTATTTTTTAAATTACTACTACAATGAACTAAGTGGCAGCTCACAAGACTTACCCCATGTTCAAAAACTGTTCATATAATTAAGGGATAAAACCATTAGATAAAACCCTAAGAACAATTTAGGTCCTGGAAGAATGCAACTATTTTGGGCCTGCTTTTGTCCACGTACTTCCCCTAGGACCTAAGTGAACTCTGAAAATTTCTAATTAACAGTTTATTGTAAAAAATTCTTAAAAGGTATTACTCTCATTCCATCCCCAAACATGCATGCACACATACACATTTTCTTAGTAGAGTTCACTTTTGAGGTTTCTGGTTAAGGACAATCCCAGCTTCAAAAGGGGCTTTCTGGTTTGAGGCAGTGAGAGGAATGGAAAAGTGAACAGCTCAGGAGGTGCCATCTCAGAACCTAGAGATTATTTTCACCTAGGATAGGTATAGAAAGCAATGGCTGAAGGCAGAAGGATAGAGGGCTTATTTTCCACATATTTGCACATGTTTAAATTATAGGAATTTAAGTAGTGCCAAGTTAGCAGATCTTAAATAAGTGGCCACGGAACTTTGCTTGAGAAATAAGCAGCTATCATTGGTAGGATCACCTAAATCTGGTGGCACTGTTTCATGCTTGGCACAAAAGAACCTCAAAACCAAGGGCTTGGGATAGCAGTCCCTGGAATGACAGAGAGATGAAAGTCACCTGAGTAGAAGGCAGAGCTTACTCAAATATATTTCCAGAGGCCATGTGTGCGTCAAGGCATAGAGACTAAACATTTATCATTAACAAAACGAGATTTGACTCAGTCACCTGCTGAAGCAGCTGTAACAAAGAAAGCGCAGGAAGAATGGGTAAATACAGCAATTCCCCCTCATCCGCAGTTTCGTATTTTGAGGTTTCATTACCCAAGGATGGTGCGGAAGCGGTGGAGCCTCCTCTGACGAATCCACAGAAGGCCAATAGCAGCCTAACTGTACCTCACAGTGCCTACGTCATTTGCCTCACGTCATCTCTGGCAGAAGGCTTTTTATCGCCCTACATCATCCCACGAAGGGTGAGGATAGCACAGGGTGTTTTTTGAGGGTGAGGGATCACACTCATATTAACTTTTATTACAGTATGTTGTTAAAATTGTTCTATTTTACTATTAATAATTGTTGGTAATTTCTTACCATGCTTGATTTATAAATGAAACTTTATCTTAGGTGTGTATGTATAGAAAAAAACATAACAGTGTAGAGGGTTCTATGTTATCTGTGCTTTCAAACATCTGCTGGGGATCTTGGAATGTATCCCCCACAGGTAAGGGTGGACTACTGTACTTGTAGTATATTCAGGCATAGTGGTCTCTGTTAGAAAGGGAGGGGTTTTGGAGAAATGATGCAGCAAGCACTCCCATGGATGTTTCTCAGGATGGGAAGAAAACAATGTTTCCAAGACCGCAGCATCCCAGAACACATTACCTCACCTATGTTTACATTTTACCTTGAAAATAGTTAGTAATATGTCAAATGGACACAACAGCCCTTTAAAATAGGATTAACCAGGCTTAATAAATAAGAAAAGGCAGGTGGTATGTACTTGTGTTCCCTTTGCTAGTAACTTATCCTATATTGTTCTCTTTGTTCTGCAAACTTAAAGTTTTCACAGGAATTTTAAAAGCTTTTTTTAAAAAAATAACTAAATCCATTTAAAGATAAATATTATGAGATATATTTTAGTCCTCTCAGTTGTCATGCTCATATTATTAAATCTATGTTACACTTGCAGGCATACCTTGGACATACTTTGGGTTGAGTTCCAGACCACCAAAATAAAGTGAATATCCGAATAAAGTGAGTTAAATGAATTTTTTGGTTCCCAGTGTGTGTAAAAGTTATGTTTACACTATACTGTAGTCTATTAAAGTATGCAATAGCATTATGTCTAGAAAAGAATGTATATACCTTAATTAAAAAATACTTTATTGCTAAAAAAAATGCTTCCCATCATCTGAGCTTTCAGTGAGTCATAATCTTTTTGCCCGTGGAGGGTCCTGTCTTGATGTTGAGGCTGCTGATGGATTGGGGTGGTGTTTGCTAAGGCTGGTGTGGCTGTGGCAATTTCTTACAGTAAGACAACAGTGAAGTTTACTAGTTCGATTGACTCATCCCTTCACTAATGATTTATCTGGAACACACGATGCTGTTTGATAGCATTTTCCCCATAGTAGAGCTTCTTTCAAAATTGAAGTCAATCCTCTCAAACTCTGCTTTTGCTTTATCAACAAGGTTTATGTCATATTCTAGTTCCTTTGTTGTCATTTTAACAAGCTTCACAGCATCTTCACCAGGAGTGGATTCCATCTCAAGAAATCACTTTCTTCGTTCATCCATAGAGGCAACTCCTCATCTGTTCACGTTTCATTGTGTGATTGCAGCGATTCAATCACATCTTCAGGCTCCACTTGTAATTCTAGTTCTCCTGCTGTTTCTACCACATCTGTGGTCACTTCCTCCACTGAAGTCTTGAACCCCTCAAAGTCATCCATGAGGGTTGGAGTCAGCCTTTTCCAAACTCCTATGAATGCTGATATTTTGACTTCTCATGAGTCATAAATGTTCTTAGTGGAAACTAGAATGATGAAATTTTCTCCAGAAGGTTTTCTATTTTCTTTGTCCAGACTGAACAGAGGAATCACTGTCTGTGGCAGTTGTAGCTTTGCAAAATGCATTTCTTCAATAATAAGACTTAAAAGTCAAAATTATTCCTTGACCTGTGGGCTGCAGAATGTATGTTAAATTATTATCAGGCATGAAAACAGCATTCATTAATCTCATTGTACATCTCCATCTGTGCTTGTGGGTGACCAGATGCATTATCAAGGAGCAGTCATATTTTGAAAAGAATCTTTTTTCTGAGCAGTAAGTTTCAACATTGGGCCTAAAATATTCTGTAAACCATGTTGTAAACAAATGTGCTGTCACCCAGGTTTTTTGTTCCATTTCATAGAGTAGATTTAGCATAATTCTGAAGGGCTCTAGTATTTTCAGAATTGTCAGCACTGGCTTCAACTTAAAGTCACTAGTGCTTTAGCCCCTAACAGGAGAGTCAGCCTGACCTTTGAAGCTTTGAAGCCAGGCACTGACTTCTCCTCTCTAGCTATGAAAGGCCTAAATGGCCTCTTCTTCTAATAGAAGGCTGCTTTGTCTATATCAAAAATCTGTTTTTCAGGGTTAGCCACTTTTGGTAATTAGCTTAGCTGGATCTTCTGGGTAACTTGTTGTAGCTTCTATGTCAGCACTGGCTGCTTCACTTTGCACTTTTGGTATGGAAACAGCTTCTTTCCATAAACCTCATGAACCAATCTCCACTAGCTAACAGCTTTCTTCTGCAGCTTCCTTGCCTCTCTCAGCCTTCATGGAATAAAAGAGAGTTAAGACCTTGCTCTGGATTAGTCTTTGGCTTAAGGGAATATTGTGGCTGTTTCAATCCTCTATCCAGAGCACTAAAGCTTTCTCCATAACAGCAATAAGGCTGTTCCACTTTATACCATTCCTGTGTTCCCTGAAGTAGCCCTTTTAAATTCCTTCAAGAACTTTTCCTTTGCATTCACAACTTGGCTGACTATTTGGCTCAAGAGGCCTATATTTTAGCCTGTCCAAGCTTTTCACATGCCTTCCTCACTAAGCCTAATCATTTTTAGCTTTTGATTTAAAGAGAGATGGTGACTCTTCCTTTGAGGCATTTGCAGGGCTATTCATAGGAGTAATTTCAATATTGTTGTTTCTCAGGGAATAGGAAGGCCCAAATAGGGAGATAAATGGGAGGACAGCCAATTAGTGGTAGAGTCAGAATGGACACAACCTTGTATCAGTTAAGTTCACTGACTTATGTGGCCATATTTCATGGTGCCCCAAAATACAGTAGTAACATTAAAGATCACTGATCACAGATCACCATAGCAAATATACTAATAATGAAAAAATTTGAAATATTGTGAGAATTGCAAACCTGTGACACAGAAACAAGGTGAGAGCAAATGCTGATGGAAAAATTGTGTTGGTCAATTTGTTTGATGCAGGATTGCCACAAATCTTCAATTTGTAAAAGTTGCAATATCTGCAAAACATAATAAAAATGAGGAATGCCTATATACTCTTAGAGAAATGTTTAAGACAAAACAACATTTAATAACTTATTCCAGCTTATCTAACAGCCACCCTTCTCCCTCTGTCTTTTCATTTACTGCATTATTTCCATGTAAGGAATGCCATATTTGAACAATCCATTATAAAAATAAAGTTCTCTGGGTGGCTGATCTTAGATTATACCTGAGATTTATCTTCATATCAACCCTAATCTGCATTGTCTTGCAGTCAGTGTTTCCTCACCCTCGAATGGAAGGTACTCACCTAGGAATCAGAAAATCCATCTTTCGTTTGTCCTGGAAGCTTCTCTGTCAACACAAATGTTTCTGTGAGTTGTTTATGTCCTGTTGACTGTAACCTTGTTACCTCAATTGGGAACCAATGTTGGTATGTATGAAAAGACTAACATTCATCTCAAAAATTTCATTTGGATCGTTGTACATGAACACCTAGAGACAAATGCAGGGCTAAGGTAATAGAATACAAGAACATGGGAAAATTCAAAAATAGCTTATTCTTGCTGAGTACTTTATCTTCTGGAAGTAGGAGCAACAAACTTTGGCAAAAATGGATTAGGAATTAATTAGAAAACTCTCTGACCTCAACCAAATGATAAATTACATGAAAATAGAATTTTTTTCTATGTTGTAAAATTGTACTTCCCCAGTCATATCTGTTTTATTAGGTAGTGTTATATACATTTTGAGTGATACTCTATACTAATTAACATAATTTATTTCATATACATTTTTAGTTCAGTTCTACTTATATATACACTTAGGACTCCAAACATGTACCATCTTATGGAAAAATCCAGTTTTTGATATGCTGCCCAGTAGGGACTGATAATGTCAAATCTTTTGAGAAGTTAACCAAATTAGAGCAGGTTTTTTGGCTTTGATTAAAGTAAATGAGAATGCCTAATACATATTGACCAACAAAGGGAGATTCTTGGAAGTTTCCCGAGCAAGTGCTGTGTTACCAGACTGTGGTCTTGGATAAGGCTATTCATTATTCAAGGCCAGGAAAGGTTAATAGGGCCACAGAAGAAACAGGTTGTAATCATTATTCAAAAGGAATATTTGAATTAAGTATCAAAAACTTGAATGGCATTAGTTACAGGACATGTGACAAGGGAAATTTTAAAGCAAGCTTTAGTATGAGAAATATCCTCAGAAGAGGCCAAAGATTAATAGTGGCCATCCTGGGTGGGCATCATTTTTTCTACCTCAGAGATTCATATCTCAAACCTACAACTGGTAAGACTCCTGCTCATTTACCCCATCATTGTCTTGATTTTTGAGCTCTCAAAAATAGATTTTGTAACTTGGAACAAGTGTAAAATCATCAGAGTAAAGCTCAGAATCTCTTAGTAGGATTGTCCCAGTTTAGACATGCTGTTAACATTATGAGGTAGTGATAATTCAAGTAAATGTTGAAGGTATTTTTCCTCACTTGCTCTTGTAGGGACTCATCCAGTAACCATACTCATGAAGAATGTCAGTATCAGAGACATATTTAAGGGGTAGAGAACTATACTATATAAGTGAACACATATATTAAATATAGTATACACAAACACACACACACACACACTTACATATATATAAGTGGATATGTATATTCAATTTCCCATTTTCATGTAGAACCAGGACTTTCTCTTTGACTTATTTGAGTACAGTCCCTGGGGGTTTCTAATCATCCATTAAGTTTTCATTCCTTTAAAAGAGAGCACAAAATTTAAAGACACTTATGAGTCAATCTAAGCACAGAATTCTTTCGATTTCTACAATTTCCAAATTTGTGATGCCTGTCTCACCTGAACCTGACTCAATAACATTTTTTAAAGTATATCACACTGATTGAATCTTTCCAGTGCATTCAACTTAGTTTTTATAAAAATAACCTTTCTTCCTATTGGGATTCTAATTTTATGGAATTGTATTACATTTAATAAAAATATGTAATTGTATTAACAAGTGTGATTGTTATAGTCAGATGTGGGTTCAAACACCACTGACTCTTGATAACATGCACTTTGCTTTGGGGAGGATATGGTGATCAGCTTCCTCAAGGTGGGCCTACTCTGGAGCTGTCAGTGTGCCATAATTATGTCAGCATTCTTTACAGATGGAATGGAGAAAGCCAAGTAATCTTTTAAATGCAGGTGGTTAAGGAAGCTTGTACTGAAAGTTCATAGAACAGTGACAACAGCTATTAATACAAAGTTTAGGACTCATTTCTCCTGAATTCTTGTCAGGAGATAGACAGATTCTTACAGGCAGATACAATTCTTCTACACACTTTTTTTTTCACATTGACATTCAAAATTAACTTTTACCCTCTATGTAGCTGTATTACTACAAATTACCATAGACTAAGTGTGTGATACAATGGGAAAGACTGATAATCAATTCTAGAGTCATGCCAAATACTGTCCCCATGATATAAGGAAAATATATTTTTTAATAGTTGGCTTCTATTTTTCTCACTATTAAATGATATAGAGTTTAAAAGTCAAGTTCTCTATTATACTGATCTAATAGGCACATTTCCACACATTTTAATATCTTTAAAATCCGGATGCCTTCCTACTGTCCATGACATCTTACAATTAAAGTGGACCAGGTAGTAATCATAACATAGTAACACTGCCTGGATATTTACATCCTTGAAAGTACCAACATCAAAATGCAGAAGTGACAGCAACTTGGAAGAGAATCACAGAATAATAGGTCAGTCTTTTGAGGACTGCTACATCACCACTGATCTCCATGGCATAGAGAGCATTACTGTATGGAAAAATACAAGCACTAACAAATTTGAGTTGAAGTAATTCAAAAGAATTCTAAGTTTTATAAATACCTTTATCCAGTTCATTTCACTTGTGTTTTGTTTCTCATGTATGCCAAGGAGTGATGTATGATAAAAAACACCATGGCAAGTAAATATAAAAGAGCACTTTCATTATATAAAGATTATAATGATTTCTGATGATGATGGAATAAATGGTACCAAAATAGCATTGCCATCATAAGCATAATACTGGCACAGATAAATGAGGCAACTGTCTTCAGGTTTGGACCACAAGCAGGGGGAGGCTGTGATTTCTGAGAAAAGGGACTCACGTGAGTCTCATGATTGTCCAGCTGCTGACTGGGGACAAATTCCTGACTACAGTACAATGAGCTGGAGTTCCGGCAAATCATGGCAGTCCATCCAAGCTAAGGACACAGAGATCAGAGTTGGAGCAGATGAAGCAGCTGGAATCGTTAGGGCCAGGACCCCAGAGGTGGGAGCTGCACACTGAGGGGACTCCAAAAGTTTGAGATGGCCTTCTCCGTGAGTCCTTGGCCATGGGCTTTGCAGTGCAACATCAGATTGAGATTATACAAAGTTTAACAGAGAGGGATTATTAAGGAGCTCAACATAGAATAGAGATATTGGTGATTAAGTAGTGCTTGTTAAAATGTCATTAACACCTTGAATATCCTCAAGAGACAAAAAAAAGCCATGCCATACTCCATACCCACCCAAATAAGACCTAAAACCAAACTCAGACAATCTAAAGAAAGAAGGAGTTCAGAGGGTGGAAAACACCTTGTTCTTTCCAAATATTTACCCTAATGGAGCATATCACTAAGGCTAGGTTACACAGAGCGAGGTGATTAACCAATAATTGAACTGCCTACTAAAACAAAGTCAATATTCTTTTTTTTTTTGAGAGGGCATCTCTCATATTTATTGATCAAATGGTTGTTAACAACAATAAAATTCTGTATAGGGGACTCAATGCACAATCATTAATCAACCCCAAGCCTAATTCTCAACAGTCTCCAGTCTTCTGAAGCATAATGAACAAGTTCTTACATGGTGAACCAGTTCTTACATAGTGAATAAGTTCTTACATGGTGAACAGTGCAAGGGCAGTCATATCACAGAAACTTTCAGTTTTGATCATGCATCATAAACTATAAACAATCAAGTCGGATATAATTATTCGTTTCAAAATCAATATTCTTGAACCTCTACAATATACTATAAAAAATGACTGGTATATAATCAAAACCATTAACAAGAAAATGCAAGTCATATTCAGTAAAAAAAGCTCTCGTAACAAACAATTCCCAAGATGACCCATATGTCAGATTTAGCAAGCAAAGACTTTAAAGCATCTACTGTAAATATTTTTAGAACTAAAGAAAAATATGTTCAAAGATGGAAAGTATGGTTCATTGTGTTAAGTGTATAGACAGAAAATCTCAGGAGATTAAATATAAAGAAAATGTAAACTGTATGAAAAGCAGAGAAGAAAATGTTGGAGAAAAATGAACAGAGACTCTGGAAGTCTTAAGTATTGCGATGGGGAAATGATAGGGAGATGATAGATATAAATAGAACAAAGAAAGGAGGAAGGAAGGGCATAAAGATTTGAAAAGAAGAATGGAGAAATGGAATATTTATCTCTGATTTTAGACCATATGATTTTATCTATATAAACATCTTTATAAAAAATTATGAAATTAATAAGTGAATTTGGCTAGATCATTGGGCACAAGTTTTATATACAAATATCAATTGTGTTTCCATTGTAATTCCTAGCAACAAATTGGAAAATGAAATTTAAAATAAATGAATATTTTTAATTTAGAAAGTGCAAGATCTCTACAGTAAAAACTATAAAGAAATTAAAGAGAAATTACCAAGAAAAAGACTAATTGTAGAGTATCTTGACAATGCATTTTAGCCTCAGGCAAGTTCGCTATGGATTCAATGTGACCAAAGAAATTGACAGCAAAACATTCTTGGGGTGAAAGGGTTACACCTAACTTTATTTCCAGGTGGCAGGTCAGTCACTAAAATTCCTTTCACTCAGAGCAAGTGTGCATGCAGCAAGCCAGTCTCTGCCTCTGGGCCCCTCTGTCTGCACAGCTGTCCTCTGGGCCCCTCTGTCCAGACAGCTGTCCTCTGGGCCTCTCTGCCTGCACAGTCATCCCACACAGTCATCCTCTGGACCTCTGTCCTCAACACTGCCACCACTCTAGCCTCTGCTCTTCTCTCCTGCAGTCTTGCAGCCGTGCCACCATGTCACACCCAGAGCACTGGGTGGAGCTCTTTATCAACAGCCATGTATTGCCCACAGGTATGCAGTGAGCTAGTCAACCAGAGCCAGGTGAGAATCCTGGCCATAGGAACTCTCATTTTATCCACAGAGAGAAATATACAATATTACAATTTCATGAATTGGAAAGTTTGATATAAGATGTCTAATTCTCCACAGATTTGACCTATAGATTAAAACAGTCTTAGTCAAAATCACAGCAGTAAAAATAAGTTCATTCTAAAACTGATA